TCACGTTTACCACTGATTTGAATGTTACTTACTTCCAAGATGTAGTGCATGTGCAAAAAGGGACAGAATAACAGATCCAGAGCAACTTGCAGGATGTCTGACTCAAATTGTTTAACAACAGCAAAAACTAAAAAGTTTGCACCCACCCACCCAAAAATAGGCTGCTGAGAAAGAATGCTTGGGTGGTGCTCGGAATTGGTTCATATGTGAAATGTGGGGCTTAAACTCAGTTCTGAAATGCACCACAAAATTATGAGCAAAACACATGCCCAGAGGCACTCTGTTCCATATTCCTCTATTCTAACTCTTGGACCTTGGAGTTTTTTTGGGGGGGGGCAAGCAAAATAAATCCCACAAATGTGGCCCCCTTTACTGAACAGAAATCACAGTCACACAATGTGACCCTCTACATTGTTTTATGATAAATAAATCCCACTGACTTTTAGAGGACTTTATGTCCCAGGATGTTAATGTTAGGCTGGAGAGAGTAAGGTTGCAATCCTAACCCCATTTACCTGGGAGTAACTGCTATTGACTTCTGAGTAGACATGGATAGGGCTTACTTCCTGTAAACAGACTTGACAATCCTAAAGGTATGGTCTCAGAATCAGTGGGAAATAACAGCCATTTCCAGTGTAGTAGGACAATGCTGTCTCCTCAGAAAAAAGTCCCATAGAAAGGGTGTATAAGATTGCAGTCTTCTTTCACTTTGCTTTTTTAGTTTCCAAGTTCAGTGAACCAACGATCAAACTGAGCCAAAGAGGTGGGTGAAGGAGATTCTTTATTCCTCCCCCCTTTTGTACACACACACACACACACACACACACACATTCATGGAAGAGGAAAGGACAGAGGGTGAAGAAAGAGCTGTAATTCAGGTATGGCCAAACTTGGCCCTCCAGATGTTTTGGGACTACAACTCCCATCATCCCTAGCTAACAGGACCAGTGGTCGGGAATGATGGGAATTGTAGTCCCAAAACATCTGGAGGGCCATGTTTGTCCATGCCTGCTGTAGTAGAGGGGGCTCTTTCCCCATCCTTTGGACCCCTTCCCTCTGGAAAACTCAACAAACCTGCTGCACATGGAACTGGGTGTGCAGAGTACAGATGAATGGGACACAACTATGGGTAGCTTGGATCAGAAGGTCGGTGGTTCGAATCCCGCTACGGGGTGAGCTCCCGTTGCTCAGTCTCTGCTCCTGCCAACATAGCAGTTAGAAAGCACATCAAAGTGCAAGTAGATAAATAGGTACCGCTCTGGTGGGAAGGTAAACGGCGTTTCCGTGTGCTGCTCTGGTTCGCCAGAAGCGGCTTAGTCATGCTGGCCACATGACCTGGAAGCTGTACACTGGCTCCCTTGGCCAGTAAAACGAGATGAGCGCCGCAATCCCAGAGTCGGCCACGACTGGACCTAACGGTCAGGGGTCCCTTTACCTTTTATGGGCAGCTTGAGGAAGCCCCATCAACTCTGGGGCTGCCCATAAATACCAAATAATATAGTAGTGTAATGTCTGCAGTCTCCAGGAACGCTTCTCATGAGACTTTTGTGGGTGAGCTAAGAGTTTGTTTGGACCCTGGGTAAGAACCCGGGAGCTGAGAGGGAGGATGTGTCAGAAGGAAAATGAATTGATATTCATGTGCATGTATTAGTATTATTAAGGTAACGTTTTTATATGTAGCTGTGCATTTTTGTAATATTTTGTTGCCTGTTGTCTGTTGTTACTTCAGTTTTTTTGTACACCGCTTAGATGTATTTTTAATATATTTAGCAGTATAGAAATTAAATAATCAAAGCCAAATAAAAACTCCCCCCCTGCACATACCAATGAACTACCCAGTCCACTGCCAGAAAGAAAAGTGACGCACTCTTCAAACTATTTTTATAGGTCTGAAAAAGCACAACCCTTAAGGAATCAGAAAACTCTTAGCTAACCAATTCAAGCATAATATGTGAAGGAAATATAGGCTGATCCAAGGACTTGGGTGAAATAACACTATTAGTGAAATGTTAGCTATAGTTGTAAGCAAACCGTAAAACCTACGCCTGCAGATTGCAAAATTAGGCTGACACTCTTGGGAAAAACAGCATGCACCAGAGTAAAGCTATTTTATTTCCTAACCTAGTTAGGATCATGGCCTGGCCATATTTCTGACCATATTCGGAAGTAATTCTCAATGAATCAAATGGGCCAATTACAGAGCCTCAGTTATCTAAGCTGAGGCTTCAGAATGAAGAGTCTCATAATTGGGCCGTTTGGAGTGTTTATTTTAATATTACAGTTTAAAATGTGTTGGCTATCCAGGAAACCAAGAGCGAACATTCCACAGGAATCCATCTTTCCCCTTTTCCCGCTTTCATTTTACGGGCATATCCTTTCAATTACGACATGAAAGTTGTGTTCATACATTGCTCGGAGTGCTGCGAATAGAGTTTCTCCTCGGCTCCCCAGAGCTATGCCGCAATTTGTCCAGCAGATGGCAGTGTTGTTCTACACATTGAACGGTCTCGCTTAGCAGCTGCAGGAAACCACCGACCAACCCCACGCAGCCGCAATGGCGGTCTTTGTGTAATTTGCCCTACAAAATATGGTCCACAATTCCCGATTACAAGCAAATGACCGTGCATTTTCGGACGGCTCCCACCTTCCCTCCCCGCCGCCTCCGCTTAGGCGCTAGCTGCCCACACACTTAACACAAATGACGTTACTCCAGATAGTTAAGACTTCGGCCAATTTTTAAGGGACTGGAAACGAGGTCAAGAACTGCTAGATTTGGCGGCCCTGGATAATCCCGAATTGCACTTGAGCGCTGCAGTCCACGCTTAAAGTCGCGAGCAGACCTATTCAAGTCAAAGGAATTTCTCTGGAGTAAAGCACGCTGTGTGTCTCTTTGCAGCCGAAGCACAAGTGCTCAGAGAGAGGCCTTAATTTTGTACAGTACTTTACTAGCTTTCGTGTGGGGGTGGGGAATATATATATAATATATATAATATATATAATATAATATATATATATGATGTAACCCGTTAGCGTCTCCCGCCTCCAGCTCTCTCCCGCCAGCCTTTCTAATTAAATTTGGCATTTGGTACACTTTCGGTTCCTTTATGAGCAAAGAAGGTGCGGGTAGCCCTTTCGACGCTGTTGATTCAGCAGCCAGTTCAAAGTTCATTCCCCAGGGTTCCCTCCGCGTTTGCGCAGCACAAGGCAGCGCTGCCCACATTTGCTCTGGACTGAGTCGTCCGGGGCTTCCTGCGGGGATGATTCTGAGACGAGGGCAACCTTATACATGCCCACTCAGAAGCGAGCCTCACCGAAATGAATAGCACTCATTAATTCCTGCAGCCTAAAGTGATTTTAGGACCCCAGCTACGGCTTGCATTTACAGTAGCGCATGGCACGAGTAGAGAGCGAATCACTTTAGCACCCCAAAAGTTGTTTGAAAGTCAGTTTGACCTTTGACCTCAATGGAGCTTCTTCCCACAAAATTGCAACTCAATTCTGGATGTTAAAGAGGTGAGTTAGCGCAGTACGAAAACAGGTCTGGATTTATTTATGTTTTCAGTGACAATAAGGCGGCAGAGTTAACACTATCCTTTGCATAAGGAGGGATTTCAAAACTCAGCACGCCGAGCAGTGATTTCATTTGCGTATGAGTATTTTGTGTGTGTGTGGGTGGGTGGGTGGGTGCATGAGTGAAAATGTTACGAAAATTTGTTTTGTACACCCTCCAAAGGAGGAGATACCAGAATTTTTTTTAAAAAAACACACTATTGTATTATTACTTCCATTACGAATACCTAACCGTTCCCAGACTAACCTCCACCAACTGCTGCTACATAACGTGGACAGTATCCAGTCAAAGTAAGAACGTCCGGATCATATGCCACGGAGAGTAGATTCAAGAAGCATGACAGAGTTGGACATGTCTTAAGGACCACAGTGGAGGAGTTGTTGGGTTACAATTTAAGGTGCATCGGCCTAATATAATTTTCTATTGCAACTTTTGTTACGTATATTCATATACAATGTAATATAGCACAACACATATTTATTCCATCAGTATAATCTTTTGCAGCAACTTATTTCAGGAGTATGTTTACCTGTCTGCATTAACATTAAAAAAAAAACATTTGTTCATGCCTTGGAAAACTTTTACTTCGCTCTAGTTGAGTGTGCTATTATTTTGGGTGGGATTTAAATCTAGAGAGGGGGCAGAATCTAGGGAGGAAAGGAAAAGATGACCATAGAAATATGCTCTTCCTTCTCTTCTCTTCTTCTTTTCTTTTCTTTTTCTAAAAAAGGAGGAGCTATTTGCATCCAGCGCAAAACCCCAGATCCCAAGGAAAGGCGTCCAAAACGCGGCGCGGGGAAGGAAGTGGGGCAGCGCACACGTTGAAGATTTCCAAAGACCCAAGTCTTTGTAGTGAACTGAAATACACGGACACGGCCCTTGAAATATAATACCTGCATTTCAAGTGTTCCATATATGTGCTCGGAGTCATCTATTACTTCAGCATAAACCGAAGGATAAGACATATTACACTGGCATGGCTTTAGATACTTAAAAACAGAACAAAACCCCAACATCACACACGCTCACTGTTTGAAAACAGACTCTTTTCTTTTCTTTTCTTTTCTTTTCTTTTCTTTTCTTTTCTTTTCTTAAGGCCCTTTCTGACAAATACACACACACACGTCGTTTTCTTTCCCTCTGGGCATCGAAAATAAATAAATCCGTTTATTCGGGGTAGTGTAGGAGGAACATGTCTAACAGCTTTTAACCAAGTAAAAACGAAAGTTAGCCGCAGAGCAAGAGTTTGGGAGCAGGATGGGAAACGATTTTGAAACGCAAGGGCCAAAGTTCAATACTTCCTTTTCCCCGCCCCGCCCACTGGATTCAATGATCCTTTATCATTAAATGAGTTCAGGGGCTTCTGCTCCTGAGGGCTGTGTAGCCTTAAGTCCCTTGAAGTCCATTCAAGAAACAGATCACTCTCTCCCTGTCGCTGGCGCTTTCCTCAACTACGCTATCAGCCCGTGAGTTAAAGATCTGCATATATCCCAAAGCAAAGTAGAGCGAAGCACAAGGTCTCAGTTTAAGTATGGGAGCAGCAGGAAGGAGTGTGGGTCTCAGAGCTTTCGTTTCCTACCCGAACCTAAAGAAAGGAGACCGACAACAGGGAGTCGGATTCAGATTCACTCCACAGCAAACTTTTCGCCTCTAACCAGGCGGGCGCCAAACGAGTTCCCCTTTTTGAGGTTTTGCGCAAATCTGCTGCTACGCAACAACCCACTTGGAAAAAGAGATACTTCGCCATTGTATCTCCTCCGCGGCGCCTGGAATTTTTGCTCGATTATGTGCACTCTCTTGTTGCAACCGGGAGAGGAAATAAAACACCAAACTCTTGGGACTACTTAACGTACTAGGACTCTTTTAAAAACATAACCTATTTTTTTGTCATTTATTGCTTCTTTCACTAACACCCGTTTCATGTACTGTAGTTGACAAAAGCTACCAAACCCCAGCTCCCACTCCTCTGAGCAGAAGCCTTTCCGTTCCCAGGAAGGGTTAAAAGCGAATGCTTTTTTGTGATTGTGGAGGAGGAAACAAAACAGAAGAGTTAACAGAACGTCCCGTTATTTATATAAAAATACGCATCGATTTATACACACCTTTATACAAACTAAACATATTAGGCACAGTCGGTTTAAAAACCCCGGAACTCCAGGCCACTGTACTAAGTTGAGAATTCAGCCCAGCGCGTGAGGTGCCCTAGCTCTTAGTACGACAATAATAGAAAAGAGCTTACGTGTTAAGCCTCGCTTGCAGACTGCGTGCAACAGCGAGCAACCCAACACCACCAATTCTACTTCACACACGCGCACACACACACGCACCCCCAAAAAAATTGCAGGCAGGATCCGGCCAAAATTTAAAGCACTAAAAAAACCACGTTTGGTTCCAATAATCCAGCATACATGGCAGCAAACCGACACAACACTTAGTCGAACTAACTTTGGTCGGATCTTGCCTTTCACTACTGCAGGAAATCTGACTCCATTGACTGTACATAAAGCAACCGATTATTTCCCCCGACTACCTGCAGAAAACGTGTGGGAGGTGGGCTACCTAATCACAATGCATTTTGGGGTTGGTTTGTTTCAAATAGATTATTTATAAACCTAACAACCGCCCCATTCTAAACAGGTGGACTTGGGACGAATTTCGAACTCGTTTCTACAGTGTATACTCCCCTAAATGGACTTTGCTTAAGCCTGGAACGGCAGGTTTTCCAAACTGAGACCCCCTGACTCCGGTTTAAGCTCAATGGGGATCGGTTTCGGAGAAGACGGGAGGAAAAATGCAGTCCTCTTTTTAAAAAAGTAATTTCACATTAAGGTCAGAGGTCAGGGGCGACCATCGACTTCATTTACCTTGGCGTTGACGTCATCATCACAACTCCCTTGCACATAATTATTGTCTTCTGGTCCATTATGAAAATTCGGGAGATCGATGATAAGGATAGACTATATATATATAGATAGATCATATATATCTATCTATAATCACACCATCTCCTTTTAGCCCTTGGCATATTCTTAAGGCTAGTTTAGCGGTTTTTCAGGAAGGCCTCGTGGGAGGGGGAAGGGAACAGAACCTACCAAAATACAATGAAGGAGAATGGCTTTTTTTTTTTAAGGGGGGAGAGGAAATCTAACACTTGCAAGTAAATCCGAAAAAGAAATTGCGAACCTTTTTCCTATAAGTACTTCAACAAGGTTCCTCCCTCCCCCCGGGGGAAAATATTAAATATATTTCAAGTCTTTCCAAAAGTCTTTTTGAGCCGATAGTGGATGGTTTGCAATTAATATATATTGATATATATATTTATAGATAGAGATAGCCGATTTGGGCCCGGATCAGGAGACATTGTCCTTCAGCTTGGAGACTATCTTCTTGTCCTTGACTCTGCGGTTCTGAAACCAAATAGTGACTTGTCTCTCGGAGAGGTTGGTGGCCGCGGATATCCTCCGCCTCTTGTCCTTGTTTATGAATTTGTTCACGGCGTACTCGCTCTCCAGTTCCTTGAGCTGCAGTTTCGTGTAAGGCACGCGCTTCTTCCTCCCTCGTCGGTAGACACACATATCCGGCTGGTTTAGTGCAACGTCCCCTACGGAAAGAGGAGACCAAGGGGCAAGTTAAAAGAACAACCCAGTTTATTTATTTCTTTACCATTACAGTACTACTTCTGCCTTAACTTAACGGCCGACAACTCGACAATGCAACGCAAGAGCTGGTTTGCAGCTATTTCAGTGAAGATTTCTTATTTGGTTTACTCTAACTCCTCAAGTGTATATGGTTCAAAAGGGAAAGGCACACTTGCGCTCACAAGCAAGCAAGCGCACACAGGTTCCTAAGTTGCAACTTCGAAATATCTTCCTTGCTTGCTTTGCATGTGGCTGGCGATGGGTGACACGGGATACTCCTCGCCCCCCGCGGGTTGAGGGCTCTGGGGCAAGTTTGCAGCAGCCAACAATAGTAAAACGATCACGGCCAGCCTCGGAGAGGCCCGTCTTCATTAAGGCCAGAAGTCCCCCCCCCCCGCCGCCCTCCCTCAAATCCTCAACTCATTTCCTCTCCGGCTTTCAGTCCCTCCGATTACTTTCCAGCGGATCTGATTTTATTTTAAAGCTGAAAGCTGCAAGAAGCCCGCGAGGGACTTTCTGAGAGAGTAACGTAAAGGGTGAGGGGCGGCTTTACTTCCGAGAAAATAGGCTTCGGATCAGGTTGCAGGGCTGAGATCCTCACCCAGTCTGCTCAGAATTAAATGGCGAGTATTTTAGTGGAACTCGTTCCGATGCTTTTTCTGTAAGTTAAAACACACACCCAACACACACACACCAATGCAAGCCAAGGGGACCTTCCTGGATTGGGGTTTTAGGTCTGGGGTGTTTGGGGGAAGGAAATGCTTTCACCCCAACATATTGCCCTGTGGCTTTTCTACGGACAGTGTCTACATAATGACAATGAATGCACTAATAGTACAATCCTACCCAGAAGTAAATCGCATTGAGCTCAATGGGTCTGCTATTCTCCCTGGAAAGTGGGTAGGAGAATTGCAGATCAAGTCCCATAGATTTCAGAGGACCCTGGGAAGGGTGTACAAATAAAACCCGACCGTCGAACAGGCTTACTGGGAAGATAATGCCCACTGAGTTCAACAAAACTCTCTACAGCCTAAGACTAAGTTACTGGGTAGGAAAGTCAAGGCGATTACAGGCTAGGCGTGCCGGAGACCCCTGCAGCCCAGGAGCAAAGACATGAGAACAAGGAGAGCTCAGACGCTTAAGGCAGCCGCTCCACGGCTTTCTGTGGGGCTTCCTTGAGGGTCTCTGGGAGCTGCAAAAGAGAGCAGGCCGTTCTCTGGCTCCTGGTAGGTCTAGCGTGTAGCTAACCAGCTGGAGGAACTTTCCCCTCCTCTCCTCCTTCCCCTCCCCTCCCTGTGGTTTTAGGTGGGCAGCTACTTCTCCCAGATGTCAGCTTCCTGTCCGGTTGACCTTCTCCTCCTCCTCCTCCTCCTCCTCCTCCTCCTGCTGCTGCTGCTGCAATCACCACCTGGCCGTGCCATACCTGGGAAGGAGGACTTCCAAAAGTGGGAGCCCTGGGCCTGGTCTTTGGCGCAGTACACCTGGCCGTTCCACCCGTTGGCCAAAGTCCACGACTGGTAGCCCTCCATGGAGATGTACGTCTCGTGTCTGGGCTCGCCGCCCGCCGCCGAGCCGAAGGTGGAGACCACGTCCAGGTAGCCGGCGGGCACGTGCTGGTAAGGGCTGGCGGCGGCAGCGGCAGCGGCGTAGCCCTGGTAGAAAGAGACCTCCTTGGCTCGCGAGGAGACGTCGCTGCCCGACGGGACGCTGGTGCTGGCCAGGCCGGCCACGTCCATGTACTTCTCCACGGGGAAGGCGGCGTGCGGGGAGGCTTTGAGCGCGGCGTTCTGCTGCAGGCAGCTGTAGTAGCCGTTGCCGAAGGGGTGGTAGCCCGGGTGGTAGCCGAGCGCGGCGGCCGCGGCAGCCGCAGCCGTAGCCGTAGCCGTCGGGGGCCCACCGCTGGAGCAGTCCTTGGAAGCGGCCGCCTCGGACGACGACGACGACGAGCGCGCCCCGGCCGACGAGCCCGAGCGCTCGTAGGGGTAGCCCGAGGAGGCGGCGGGACCCGCGGCTCGACCCGACGGCGGCGGCGCCGCTCCGAAGACCGGCGGCGATAGGAAATTGCGGCACTGGCCCCGGCCGCTGCTGCTCCCGCCGCTCCCGCCGCCGCCGGCGTCTGCCCGCAGCGCCTCCATCTCCCAGCCGCTGCCTGCGCGGCTCATGCTGCCTGCGCCCAAGAGCCTCGCTGAAGGCGGGCGCGCCGCCGATGCTGCTGCTGTTGCTTCTCCTCTTCCTGGCCTCCCTCCTCCTCGCCTCGGCCCAGCGGCGGCGGAGGCCCCCAGCAGCTCATGGCGCGCCAAGCCACCGTAGCCGGGGCGACTGGTGCCTGGGACGGAGCGCTGGACGGGGCGGCCTCGCTCGCCCCCAGCTCGGGATGGTTTATAAAAACTAAGGCCACGCTGGGAGGGGGGACGCGGCGCCTGGCTTCGCAGGGAGGGCCAGCAGGGAGCCCCCATTGGCTCCTCACGCCCACGTGACGGTAACCCGGCCACCGGGAAACTGAGCCTGCCAGAGAGAGAGAGAGAGAGAGAGAGAGAGAGAGAGAGAGAGCTCACCCCTCCCTCCCTCCCACCTCCTCTCTTCTCCCTCTCTAAACTTTGTTTCCCTAGGTAGTTACGGTTCTCAGATAAGGGGTTTTGTTCTATTTTTGGGAGGCGGGGGTGGAGAAGAGGATTAATAGGAGGGGGCAGGGAAAGAGGGGATTAAATAAGACTGAAACATTAATAAATGCAGACGACCCTCCCCCCCCCACGTCCTCTCTGACAACCTCGGGCGAGGGGAGGGGGGCTGACATCAATTTCGAACCAGTTCACAAGGAGGAATTCCAGTTTGGGATCCTGTTTACAGAATATCAGAACGCACACGGGCGCACATTTCGGCCCTGGATAGGACCTCTGTAAAATTATCTATTCATAGATAAAGAAGGAGACTGAGGCGGGAAATAGAAACCCTATCTACGCTGCCTTTAAATGTTATGTGGACATGGTTCTCAGCTCCAGGTCGCCCAGGCCAGCTAAGATACCAGGCGGTAATTTGAGGGGGGAAATATTCTCAACCACAGCTCATTTGTCCTAGTTCTGCTTTCCTCTGATGCCTCGACCCAAACTGTACTCTTCAATGGGGTTCTAATGGTAGAGGTGTTTACCAGAGTTTCCTGAAGCGTAACTTGTCCGAAATTCACCGGTGGCGCCACGATTTGAAGCTGGACACCAATCCTAATCCAGTTTGCACCTAAGTAAGTCGCACTGGTTTCATTAATTCCCCGTCCCCCAATTTGTTTCACTAAGTACTTTCGAGCTGCAGCCTAACTTAATTGTTAAGAGCACGAGAACGTGTATAGGCGTGAGAGGCCATTATGCATTAATTCGTAGAACATTATACATGTATTTTGTATGATAGGCATATCTCTGCACAGCAACACTGTATTGCACAGGCACAAACGGCAGCAGGTCTACCTCTCAGCCCGCCGTATCCCTGCATTAGCAACCAAATCTGAGATTCACTTTCTTGGGCTTTGGATTTGAATCACTGGGCTCCAAGGAACCGGTGAGTTGGTTTAGTTTCCAGATGGGTTCAGCCCTGGGTCTCTTGGAGCTAAAAGCAACAAAAGAGTTGTCTTTTAGGTGTCACAAGTCTCTTCGTCGGGGTTCTTTAGTGCAGCTTTCAAGTGGGTGAATATTAGGGAGACTCTTCCTGCTGCTGAGCAGAAGCTGGAGCTCAGAAAAGTTAAAATGCGAGTGTGCGCACCGGTTTCATACAGTGAAAACCGTGCCAGAGCTCCCTATTTATTTATGCGGTTTAAGGGCGAGGTAGGGCTCTGTTTACACCTTCCTTACACCTCGATTCTCAGAAAGTTACCTGGGAGCAAGCCCCGTTGAACTCAGTATCAGCTTCTACTCAGTCTACCTACGTGACTGCAAACCTCCCCGGGACTTTAGTCCAGAGACAAAATTCGTAGGATCGAGCTGCTGTGCTTCAGCTGTGATCCTAGGCATGGTTGCCCGCGAGTAAATCCCGGTAAATTTAACCTTAGCAGCCTTACTTCGTCCTCTTGGCTTTCCAGAGTTGCCGGGGATCTTCCTAAAGCCCGCTCTTTAAGCTGCAGTTCCCACCAGCATCGCGCAGATATGCGGGTCTGGGGCGTTAGATGCGCACAGAATCGAATAAACCCCCTCGCTTATTTTACCCTCCCTGGTCGATGGACTTTCTGGTTGTAGGAGCTTATCAGCAGGCTATAGAATAGGAAAGAAGGAAGGTAGGAAGCTAGGAAGAAAGAGAAAGAAAGGAAGAAAGGAAGAAAGGAAGAAAGGAAGAGAAATCCCCGGAATATGGCAGAATGCTTTTAAAGGACACTCAAGTCTTAAAACATGTCTTAAAAGTGCTCAAACCATTGTAAGGAAAAGGGGGATGCTCCATTCCCCCTGAGTGGAAAGAGATATTTATATCCAAGCAGAAAGGCTAAAATAGGACTGCGAAAAGACTCGGCAAAGGGTGTGGGTGGACAGGCGCTTGGTTCGGCTTCGGATCCGAAAAGAATGCGCATCGAGGGAAAGAGGCCGCCTTGTGCAACAGGAGAAGGAAGAAACCTGCAGCCGCGGCTTCTGAGAACCACTCGGCAAATGGAAGCAGCAACCGGCCGGGCGGGTCATGAGAGGTCTATTCGCCATGGTTTGCAGCCCTCCTAATAACTCTTGGCAGTTTCCGAGGCAAGAGCGAGGAATGACAAAGCCGTGCCAATAACGACAGCAGCAACCGGCTGGGAGCAAACACAAGTTCACGTTCATTAAGTCTCGATCGCTTAACTTCACTGACTGCCGATCCTCCTAATCAACGGAGCGCGCCAGTAAGTGAAACTGACAAAGGTCACGAAGTTCACTCCTGTCTAAACCCGATTTTTGTTTGTTTCCAGGATGTGTAAAGGAGTCTGTAATTAGGAAGTGGTTACTAAGGGCACGACGTAATTTTTCTTTTTTAAATCTACTCGGCTGAACTCAATCCCCCTCCCCCTTTTCTTTCTTAATTGCATACAGTTAAGGAAACATTTATATTCCGAAATAATAGAAATATCTGAACAGAATAAGGTTGCCACCAAATTCAAGCTGCAGCCTTTCTACGGCTTGCCTGGATGTACGTGGTTAGGATAAAGGTGTTTATGTAACACAGTTGCAATGCTGCTCAACCTTTGGTTAAGAAGTAGGATAAATACATTCCGGACACGACGCAGCCAGATGGTAGGCCTTTGAAAAGGATTCAGCCGGCTTACTCTACTAGGATTTAAATATTTCCCATTGTGTTCAATGGTGCTTCCTCCTAGACTGCAGTCTTCCTTGGAGAGGGTTATTTTCCTCCAATGGAATCATTAGGCTTCCCAGAGCGTTAAATTGTGGCTGGATCGTGTCTTATCATTTTGGTATACGTTCTTCAGTGTTTTTCATTGCAGGAGAGATCGTCGCTGCCAGCGGTCGTGGTTGAGGGAGCCTTTCCCCGCACCCACACTTTTTTGGGGGAACCATCCATTCCACAAGCCCCGAACACGGCTTGACCTCATCCATTCCAGCGAGGTGATAAGGTAGTTTTATGAGGTGTGGGGAGAACTGAGGGTCTGACCACGCGGGTGCGGGAGACCGCGAATGGGAGTCAAAACAATGAGGTCAACCAGGCAAAGGAACTTTGTAAGGTAGGTAGGAAAAGCGCCCTGCCGCCATTCTCATTTGAGCAAAACCTGTTGCTCCGACTGGGGCTGAGGCTCATTCCAGAGGAGTCAACAGCCGCTGCAATGATCCAGTGATCCACTGCTGTAGAATGACAGGCCGGGTCGTGCTGACCTATGGTTCTGCGCGCGCAAGGAATGGGGATGGCTGGCTGAGATTACGAGGAGGCGGCAATGCTCGGAAAACAACTTGTCTAACAAGACTGGCATATTTGAAGAGGCACCAGGGCATACTGGCGGAGCTTTATTCCGTTTGCAACACCCCCTTTCGGGAATCCCTTTCCGTCCCCTCCCTCTCCCCCTTGGCATCAAGTCAACGTGTGTGCAGCTGACATCATATCTGCCTTACATTTTCCATTTGCAAATGGCGCAGGCATCAGAAGAAACGATTTTGTTGGGGACGCAGTGAAAGGAACGAGGGGCTTCCTAGGAGAAGAGAAACACACACCCACACCCGCGAAGAAGCTGTGATTTGTGCTTCGAGGAGAAATTACCTCATTTCCCCTCCCTAATATCTGCAGCGACCTAATCCAATCGTTATGCAGAGCCATTTCCTAATTAAAGGCTGTTTTAAGTCTTTCGGCGACCCACCCCGATCACATCCCTCGGCTTTTATCTCCTAAGCACAAGTTCCCAATGGCTCCATTTAAATTGACCCGTTTCCAAGTGAGTGGACCCGGAAGCGCAGCCTCTTGCTGGGACACGCAACAAAAACCCGAGCCAGATAACCTCGTGCGCAAGAGAGGATCGAATGTCCTCCCCGCTGCCAATTCATCTTCTTTATGAAAAGTCTTGACCTTAATTTCGATCACCCGCGTCTGAAAATGCATTGCGGATAACTTAGTTTGGGAATTATGTCAATGGGACTTTTTAAATATATTTATTACTTGGGTGCAAGTGGCTATCATCACCAGCGCAGGAAGGTCATTCCGTTTATTCAGCAAATCTGATTCAGGGAATTCCCCCTGACCAAATTTTGTGTCTTACTTGCGCAAAACGGCTGAGTTGTTTTTTTTCTTCAAACTCCTCTATGAGAAAGGATGGGTTGCCCTCAGTAATGCAGTAAACAAGGGAAAGGAAGGGGGTGGAGGGGGAGGAACTATTGTAAATATATGGTTGCTTTACCCCACTCATTATGTGTTTGTTTGTTTGTTTGTTTGTTTGCTGGCTTGCTTGCTTATTTGTTTGCTTATTTGCAGTCCAGTGCAGAATTCTCCCTATGAAGTGGTTAGGATTTTCATTATCTCTATTTCCATAAACTTCCAGTCCGCTGAGGTGTAACGGAATTGTACTACAGTGGTTCCTCGGGTTGCACACGCTTCGGGTTACAGACGCTTCGGGTTACAAACTCCGCTAACCAGGAAGTGGTTGCTCCAGGTTAAGAACTTTGCCCCAGGATAAGAACGGAAATCGCGCGCCAGCGGCAGCAGGAGGCCCCATTAGCGAAAGCGCGCCTCAGGTTAAGAATGTTTCAGGTTTAGAACGGACCTCTGGAACGAATTAAGTTCTTAACCCGAGGTACCACTGTATGTTGGACAGACAACTGTAAAGAAGAAAAGAAGAAAAGCGAGCGGTCCAGCTCCCACATATCTTGTGTCACTGATATATTGCCGCTACATACACATTACAATGTTCGAATTATGACTTACGGCGCGATCCTATACATCCCTGCTAAGAAGAAGGCTGCGGTGACTTCAGTAAGGTTTGTGCCCAAGCAAGTGGCTGTAGGCTGACATCAGCAATCCT